CCGCTCCTTCTCCAGCCGCCTTCAGGACAGCCGCAGCCTGGATGGGCTGAGCGGGGCGTGCGCCGGCGCTGGGTCTGCAGGAGGCGCAGAGTCAGGCACCGGCGGCGGGCGGACACGCGGCCGTCAGGCACCGGCGGCGGTCGCCGGGCCACCATCTCCAGCCCCCTGGAGCTTGAGGGCACAGTGAGCCGCCACGGCGACCTCACCCACTTTGTCGCCAACAACCTGCAGTTGAAGATCCGCCTGAGCGGCGTCCCTCCGCCCCCGTCCTCTGCCCCTGCGCGGCCCTGCCCAGTGCCCACACCCACTCCGGCCATCCCGCCCATCGACCCCGATGTTCTGCGGGATCTGGAGCGGCTGAGTCGGGAACTGGGAGGCCGAGTGGACCGTCTGCTTCGCGGGCTGGGTGGCGCGGTGCAGGAGCTGACAGCGCTGAGCGTGGGCTGCATCCAGACCTACCGCGACGCTGTGGACTCCTTAGGCGAAGCCGTGGACATGAGCATCAAGGGCATGTACACGCTGCTGGCGCGCTGCGAGGAGCTGGAGCGGGCTCTGCAGCCCGTGCAGGGGCTTGCGCGCCAAGTCCGGGACATCCGACGCACTCTGGAGGTGTTGGAGGCCCTGTGCAAGTGACCCGGAGGGAAAGGCCAGGGCTGGCTAGGCCAAGGCCCAGCAGGACCCAAAGGACTCTTCAAGGAGCCCTGGTGGGAACTGCACGCTGAAGGGAAGCCTATGTGTTGGAAGCTTTTCCAGATTTGTCTGGGAACATTGACCCACATTCACTGGGTTGGGTCTTTGGCAGGTTTATATGGGAAAGTTCAACAGCTTTCCTACTGGGAAGGGATGTGGCTCTGCTTCTATTCAGTTGGCCATCTGTAGCTACCCTGTTCTTCCTAACCTCCCTAGCTAGAGCACCATCCCTTGGAACCTAGTTCTCTGCTTGAAGGTGGGGACATGACTCCCATATGTGATCAGAAGGAAACAGAGGTGGCCACGCCCCTTGTGGCCATCCCGACTCTGATGGCCACATCTCAGGTCTCAGGGGCTATGGGAACTTAAGTGGTCCTTGGCCACACACCATGCAAGCAAGGATGCACATGCGCAGAGGGATAATCTCCTATTTGTGCCCTCTGGCCCCTACCATACCACTTCCCCAGCCGAAACTGGGTGGAGCTAAGAGGAATTCATTGCATGGTGGAGGGGATAAGGTGGGAGGTGTTTCACTGTTCTCAGGGTTCAGGTAGTATTGTTGCTGGTTTGAAGCCCACCTGTTGTGGAATGTTCTGATCAGTTTGGCTTTCTGAGTTTTTGTGGAATTAAAGTGCTGCTGCTGCTGCTGCTAAGGCTGAGGCTGTGTCTGTGTGGGATTTCAGGGATTGAGGAGCCAAAGGAATGGGCATTTGGGCGTCTCATTCATAGAGCTCCATTGGGGCCGGTGCTGGGAGTTGGGTGGGTGTTCCAGGATGGCTGGGGAAGGATAGGATCCTGCTCTTAGGCAGTGGATCTGAGTGGAAAATGAGAGACACAAATAATCACACACAGAGATCTAGAGATCGGGCCCAGGGAGCCTGGAAAAGCAGAAACACAAGGAAGTGATTTAAAAGATGAAAGGAAGGTTGGCTTCTCAGGTCCTGACGGACAGACAGGGGCTGGATGGATCGGACACCTTGATTCTGGAGGAAGACTAGGAACGTGTCAGCTCCATCCCTGACCATTTCCCACATGCCATTGATAAGTGCCACATGTAATGGTTTGAGACACTCTTGTTCCAAACTGCGATGGCCCCCAGTTCAAATAGTAAATTAAGAAGCCACGTACTCCAGTTCAAATAGTAAATTTAGAAGCCATCTACTAAGGTCATGAGATTTAAGAAGAGACTACAGGACAGATCCAGTTTCTTTTAGTCCCTTGCCTCTAGGAACTCACACTTTGGACGGTGGTAAGTTTGTGTTTGTGCCATGAAACGTTGATGGCGGAAATGTGACTTTCCTTCCTTTTTCCAGTTGGTCTTTAATGAAATTAAAATCTTTTAAAAAGGGTCAACAAGTGGCCCGTACGGGGATCGAACCCGCGACCTTGGCGTTATTAGCACCACGCTCTAACCAACTGAGCTAACCGGCCACGCTGCTTCTAGGGTTCACTGGAAAGTCATGTAAAGTTATATTACCACTCAAGTCTCTCCCAGAAATTTTTGGGTGTAGAATTGCTTCAAATAAAACTGTAAGTAAAATAATAAATATAAGTAAAACATTGACACGCTTAGCACTTACACAAGTTAACAGCCAAGCCACAATAATACTAATAAGCAGATGATAAATCGCAGGAATCTGGTCGAGATACAAATACCGTGCACACGAGGAACAGGATGTACGGAAAATGACAATCACCGTCAATTTCGTGCCCGACCAGAAAGTCAAAACACCAGACCAGGTACACGGTTGATTCCCGAGAGAGGATAGATGGATACGTGGGAAACTACAAGGACGTCACGAGGCGATTCAATCCTCACAGGATCTCTTGCCTGCAAAAGCATACAAACTTCGGGAGGCACCGCTGGGATTCGAACCCAGGATCTCCTGTTTACTAGACAGGCGCTTTAACCAACTAAGCCACGGCGCCCACACGAAGGCACCTTCTGTCGTGTTTCCTTGGTCAGGTTGGCTCCCCGGCAGGTGGGTGAATATTTGAGAGCCCTCTATAACACTCGACCTTATTGGAAAAATATAGTCGAGAGATGAAAGGCATACTCCAGTAAAGAGAGTACAGTGATGACAGTGAAACAGCAATCTGGTACATACAAAGCTGCAAGAAAAATCCTTAGATGGGGAATTACAAAACGAAGAACTTGCCACAGCAATCTCAAACCGACGAGGATGGGATTCGAACCCACGCGTGCAGAGCACAATGGATTAGCAGTCCATCGCCTTAACCACTCGGCCACCTCGTCTACGGGAAAAAAAATGGTGTTAGGTTCTCCTCTCTGGGGCTTCATCTCTTTCCTGACTGGCCTGCCTCTATGGAGAACTGAGTTCATTCTGTGCAAGTCGGCCGGCAACGGGAAGAACATTCGACTCGCATGGCGGAAACTGGGCGACATTCTCGCCTGCGCGTGCCCTCGTCTCGACTCTCCGTAGTCTCGACTCTCCGTAGTCTGTCTGGCCCGAGGCAGCTTAGCTGAGCCTGTCCTCGGGAGCCCCGCTATCCGCCCACGATTACAATAGTTAGATCCGCCGCAAAAATTCCACGCGACATCGTTGGACTACCACGACCGGAAGCCGCGAGATTTCGTGCCAGAAACGCTCACCTTTTGGGCCCTAAGAAATACTTCTGTTTCTTCGATCTGAGTGCTGGGGCTTGACCAGACCTGAAAGTAAAAGACAATAAATAAAAGTCACTGGACTTGTACAAAAGAAACTGACCCCGACGTGATTTGAACACGCAACCTTCTGATCTGGAGTCAGACGCGCTACCGTTGCGCCACGAGGTCGGCCGGCCATTTGCCTGGACAGGTCTCCTCATGACCACTATGCGGTCAGGCGGCAGGAGACCTGGAGATCAAGATGGCGGGAACCGAGGTCCTTCTTGCCTTCCAAAAACCCCCGGAATGAGGTCTGCACTCCCTCACCAGTCCGGTGGGGCCAATCCAGCCAGCTGCACTCGCAGGTCAGAGGCTTAGAGACTCCGAGCTCAGCGCATTCACCAAACCCGCTCCCGCCCCCCTCCATCCCCCACCCCCCTCCAGCGTCCTGCAGACAACCGACCGAGTGTAGGGCCCTAATGCGGTCACCAGGGGGACCCAGAGCTCATGGCCCAGCGGGGACCTGTGGAGAAATGAGTGGAAGGTGGGATACCAGACAGAAAGTGATAAGAGTGTTAGAGTTGTGACCCGGCCTGGGGCACCTGAAAGGCTGAAATTAGCTTCTCCAGAGGAGCGGTTTCTCTTTGGCTGCATTTTATAAGTCGTCTGCGGAACCTTCAAAAGAAACACGCACAACCCTCAGGTCCGGAGATTCTGATTTAAGACTTTCAAGGGAAAGCCTTGGCATCGGTATTTAAAACTTTGGGGAAGAGAATGGGTTTTTAAATTTTTGAAGGATAGCTTACATTCAAGAAAACGCATAGATCTTAAGTATATATTTTGGTAAGTTTCAATAATTGCATACACTCTTGCAACTCACAACTCTTGGAAGATACAGAACATTTTCTCTGTTCCAGAAAGTTCTCCGTGTTCATTTTCAATGGATCCCCGCCCATCCCTTCCAGAAGCAACCACTGGTCTGATTTTTGTCACTATAAACATCAGTATATTTTAAAGCTCCCCAGAGGAAACAGAACTGGGAATTTCTAAAGAGCGATACGGGAGTTGGAAGAGACCCGATTTGTTTCTAGAAGTATGAGAAGCATTCAACAGGTCCAGACAGCAAAGAAGTCATGCTGTTATACTCCATTCCTTTGAAGATTTATGTATATTCTGCACAGGGCCTTTCTGGAACACTATCAGGGATCACAGAGATGTCAAATGCCCCAAACAATTCTCAGCTACATTTCAGAGTTTTCTCCGTGTTCAACTTGACGCCCTCTGCTGGCCCTCCTGTACTGCCCCCTCCCCCAGTCTCTTTTTCTTTTTTTAAATTTAATTTTATTTATTATCATAATCTTTTTATATTACATTGAATTGCATATATCTTTTTTTTCCCACTTTCCCAAACTTTATTAAAGAAAAAGAAATGGTGGTAGATCTCTGAACATAGTCGATTTAGGGGGATTTCTCCCTCAAAAATATGACATTTGATTTCCACACACATGCTGGAAGCTGACATGGTTCCAAACTGTCCTAAGTAGATAAGAAGCCGATTTCCCAGTATTCATCTGCCGACTTTCCCCAGTCTGTGGTCTGTCTTTGGATCAGCAATAATTGCCTGAACAGCTACTATGGCTTCATTAATTTTTGTCTGTAGCTCTCTCAGCTCTTCTATGTGCAATAATCGCAGAATCTGAGCAGCTTCATTAAGAACTGCATCTCCTGTATCAAAACCAAGAATGTTTGTCTAAAACAACAGGCAAGCCCTCTTTTGTTTGATTTGCTTTAGCAACTGCATCCTGTGTCAGGCGTTCCTGAATCAAAATTCGAATTGCTTTAAACATTACCAGGTAATCATCATGATGCTGAATCTGAAGAAGGTTAGCCAAAGCCATTACACCAGCCTTGAAGTCAGGATTATTCACATCCAAATTGATCAATGGCTCAGCATTTTTAGTGGCATTGTCAGAATTTTTTGCATTATCAGGTACTGGGTCCTCGTACTTTTCAGCATTATCTCCATATTCAAGTCTAACAGCTAAACCGAGAAGCCAGTCAATCGCTTCTTGTCCATCCTGAAACTTGAAAGGACAGTTAACATCTTTGAGATACTTTTCAAAAAACTTGGGCCAGTCACTGCTGTGGATGTTTCTTAAATACCCCCTGTCTTCAATCTTGTAGTGTCTGATTTTCTGGTCGTCAAGCCAAACAATAAAGTTTCTAAATTCTGTTTCATCTTTGCAGTTGAAGTCGTTAGGGTTGTGGTAGTCGAGCGCCGTAAGCTTGCGTCCTTGCATCGGAACATGGTCCCCGCTTCTCGCTCAAGTCCCCCGGGTTTCCGCCGGGAGAGGAGAAGCGAGGTGGCGCGGGCCAAATCACATATATCTTCATAGTGCATTACGTTTAAAAAAATTTTTCCCAGAAGAATACCATGCATATCAGTCAAGACAAAGACATTACTATCCACATCACCATCAAATCACTTTTTTTTTTTTGAGAGTTTTTTTTTTTGCTATAGGGCGCGTTCGCTTGCCAGACAGACAGAGAGAGACAGAGAGACAGAAAGCAGGAAATCACCCCCCAGAGGGGATGGCCACGCCACAATCCCTTCTCCTCCACTCTCCTCTCAGAATCTTGGGCACGCACGCACACGGGCCCAGCGTGAGTTTAAGCCACCGGGTCCGGGACTCGAACACGCGGTTGACTATGTGGGAGTCCAGCGACATAGCCATTATGCTAACTGCTGGACCCCAGATCACTTTTCATCATGTTTTTGTATTATAGTTTTTTTTTTTTAAAACAATTCAATCACTAAAAAATATGGAACGCTTCACAAATTTGAGTGCCATCCTTGCACAGGGGCCATGCTAATTTTCTCCATATCATTCCAATTTTAGTATATGTGCTGCCAAAGTGATCACCTTCAATCTCTTCTTCTGTCCTCACCTTAAATCTTTGTTTTCCTTAGGGATCAGCCTTCTCTCCTCAGGCTACACATGCTCCCTGGTTTCAGTTATCACCTGTGTGCTGAGGAGTCCTGAATCCCACTACCTTCTCTGAACATTTCCATTGGACCTTTTCAACTCCCCTTCCCATCTTCTGCACTCCTAAGAATTGGCCAAGGCAGGCCAGGAAGGGAAGTTGGGTCAGTGGATATGGTCACTAGGGAACATGACTCTATGCTCAGAGGTCCTGCAGCAAATTTTGATGCGGGAATGCTGCGGTAATCAGAGCCAACACATGTGCTGGTTTTTGTCTGACACTCAAGAAGAATTAGAGACTTGGATACAGAGAGGAGAGTAAAGTGGAGTTTAAGAGAGGGTAGGAAGAACAGAGCTCTCAAGCAAGGAGAGGTCCTGAATGGGTTGCCGAAGAGAAGTTGGAGGCAAGGGGAGCAATGGGCTACCTCTCTGAGAATGAAGTAGGAATAATAGGCTGGCTCTCTGACAAGGAAGAAAATAGAAAATAGTTACATAGTAGTCTGAGTGATTTATTACTCTATTCTTCCTGGGGTCAGCAGATCATAGCATTCTGGGGACCACCAGTTGGCATAATGGCTGTGTCGCTGGACTCCCACGTAGTTGACTGTGGTTCGAGTCCCAGACCTAGTGGCTTCAACTCACACCGGATGTGTGTGCGTGTATGCCCAAGATCCCAAGAGGAGAATGGAGGAGAAGAGATTGAGGTGTGACTATCACACCCCACAACCTCCTACCACCGCTTTCTGTCTCTCTTTGTCTTTCTGGTGATTGCACATGAGCACACTATAGCAAAAACCTCTACAAAAAAAAAAAGAGAGGTCATAGTGTTCTGTACTTCTTGTTAGAATATAGTTACTTTTTGAGACCAGCAGATGATGTAATTAATGGTTATATTGCTGGACTCCCAGCTAGTCAACAGCAATTGCAGTTCCAAACCCAAAACTCATGCCAGATGTGTGCATGCATGCCCAAGATCCTGAGAGGAGAATGAAAGAGAAGGGATTGGGGTGTGGCCATACCCCTAGGGGGTGATTTCTTGCTTTCTATCTCTCTGTCTCTCTCTGGTGAGCATGCACACCCTATAACTCTCTTTAAAAAAAGGAATATAGTTACTTATTATTATTCAATAATAAATTATTATTATTTAATTTGCTATAGGGGACATGTGCTCACCATAGAGACACACAGAGAGAGAGAGAAAGCAAGCTGCCAAAGCTGGAACTTGAGCTATGGTTAGTCATATGGGAGTCCAGTACCACCGTGACACCTACTGGCCCCAAGGGACCTGTTATCCCCTTTTTCCTTCCAATTTCTCACTTTTGGAATGGAAATGTTTATCTTATGCCTATCCCACCATTGTATTTGAGAAGCATGTAATTTATTCAATTCAAGCCACTCGGTGGCTTGCTTTCTCGCCTTCTCTCTCTCTCTCTCTGGTCAAACTAAAAACAAATAAATGGATAAATAAAGTTCAATAATTCTAAAAAAAAAAAAAAAAGGGCAGCACATGGATTTTAGGGGTTAGGGTGGAATGTTATAGGCTGAATATGTCCCCCTAAAATTCACATATTGAAACCCTAATTCACAGAGTGATGGTATTTGGAGGTGAGGCCTTTGGAAGATGATTAATTTTGTTGAATCATCAGAAAAGTCATGACACGATTTTTTTTTTTTGAGAGGTTTTTGCTATAGGGCACATGCGCTCACCAGAGAGACAGAGACAGAGAGACAGAAAGCAAGAAATCACCCCCTGGGGGGATGGCCACACCACAATCCCTTTTCCTCTGTTCTCCTCTTGGGATCTTAGGCATGCACGCACATGCGCCCAGCATGAGTTTAAGCCCCTGGGTCCGGGACTCGAACCACTGTCAACTACATGGGAGTCCAGCAACATAGCCATTACACCAACTTCTGGTCCCACTCATGGCACATTTTTTGCATAGAAAAATATGTCATGACTTTTTCAACAGCCCAATAGATTCAGTGATGATGGGGAACTTCCAGTGGGATTAGTAGCTGTATAAAAAGAGGTACACAGAGACATCTGTCTCCGTGCACAGGAACAGAGGAAACACCCTGGGAGAACATACCAAGAAGGCAACTGTCCACAGTCAGAAGAGAGCCTGCACCAGAAACAAATCTTCCTGCAGCTTGACTTGCAAAGTTCTGGCCTCCAGAATTATAAGAAATAATGTCTGGGGACCAGCAGTTGGTGTAATGGCTATGTCGCTGGACTCCAGTGTAGTCGACCACAGCTCAAGTCCCAGACCTGGTTTAACTCATGCCGGGCACATGTGCATGTGTGCCCAAGATTCTGAGAGGAGAATGGAGGAGAAGGGTTGGTGTGGGCATCCGGGGGATGATTTCTCGCTTTCTGTCTCTCTGTCTCTGTCTCTCTGGTGAGCGCATGTGCCCTATAGCAAAAACCTCTTCCAAAAAAAAAAAAAAAGAATGTCTGCTCTTTAAGTCCCCCAGTCTATGGTATTTTGTTATAGCAGCCAGGGTTATGACATTCTAGCAGGAGGATGGTTTCCCACTTGTCTTGATCTGGGATGCTTTCAGTGCTGCTTCCTCTGAAAGGAACATCTATCCTTACCTTTCCTCCTGTAGGCTGGCAGAGAACAGTAGAGCAGACAACAGACAAAACAACTGTGCATGGCTAAAGATTTTATAGCATCCTGGGCAATTCATATCCATGAAGCAGAAACTGGGGCTCTGCACCAGGCCTTTCTTCTTGTGCTTCCTCTTTGCCCCTCCTGAAGAAAGACGATGGTGATCCTTTGTGAGAGACATGTTCTCCTGGGGAAGTCCTCACTGCCAGAAAGGCTATTTAGTTTTGTTTTATAATTATGTTATACATTTACATGGTTCCAAAGTTGAAATCTATAAAATAAAGTACAGAGAACCAGACCTCCATTTCCATCCTTCCATCTTTCACTCTACATACACACACACACACACACACACACACACGCACACACACACACATGCACACATCGTATTTGTTAATAATCTAAAATGTGTTATAGTTAAACTGGTTAAGAATAACTTATATGTTACTTAATTTTAAAAAAGGGGCTCAGGAACCAGCAGATGGCATAATGGTTACATTGCTGGACTCCCATGTGGTTGACCATGGTTCGAATCCCGGGCCCGGTGGCTTAGAACTCAGGCTAGGCATGTGTGCATGTGTGCCCAAGATCCTGAGAAGAGAATGAAGGAGAAGAGATTGCGGCATGGCCATCCTCCTTGGGGAATGATTTCTCACTTTCTGTCTCTCTGTCTCTCCAGCCCATGTGTGTATTCTCTGTCTCTCCAGCATGTGTGCACACCCTATAGCAAAAATCTCTCTCTCAAAAAAAAGGAAAAAAAAAAGATTCTTATTTTCCCCAGTGGTGGAATCTAGAGTCCACACAGAAATGGAACCTTGTGGGTCCAACAGGTGGCATGGTAGTTGAGACACTAGACTCCCATATGGCCAACCATGGTTCAAGTCCTGGACCTGACAGCTTTCTTTCTCACTTTACTTCCCTCTTTCTCTGGCTCTGCCTCTCTCTGGTCAAATTAATAATAATAATAACAATAATAATAAGCTAAAATAAAATAATTCTTAAAAAAAGAAATGGCACCTCACACAGGGAAGAAAAACAGATCATTAGTCTTAGAACTAACTCAAGGGGCCAAAGGAGAAAATGTAGTTGGTGCCTCCCATACCTTTGCCTCCTTTAATGATACCTTTGTCCATGTCACTGATCTTTCTGACAAGGAAACTATTTGCTGTGTGACTGGTGGGATGAAAGTGAAGGCTGACCAAGATGAATCCTTGCCCTACGCAGCCATGTTGGGGGGTCAGGATGTGGCCCAGAGCGTAAGGAGCTGGCCATCACTGCCCTACACATCAGACTTCAGGCCACAGGAGGAAATAGGACCAAGATCCTTGGCCAGTATAAGCAATATACTTGGGCCCGCAGAAGCCAAGGTATGTCAGATCCTACTAGCTCCATGGATCAGGAGCCAGGGACCTGGGAGAAGTCAACAAGCAGATAGGGACCAGATGACAACATCAAAAAGAATAATTGCAATGTCAAATTTGTCACCTCTACAGCTTCCCCCAGTTTGGAAAAACCCTGTCTTTGTCTTTTATGATCTCGATCAAGACTTTTTTAAAGAGATGTTTTGCTGTAGGGCAAGTGTGCTTGCTGGAGAGACAGAGAGCAAGAAATCAACCCCCCACCCAGGGGGGATGGTCAGCTGCAATCCCTTCTTCTCCATTTTCCTCTCAGGATTTTGGGCACACATGAACAGGCACCCAGCGTGTTTCAAAAGTCTTGGGGTTGGGAACCAGCAGTTAGTGTAATGGCTATGTCGCTGGACTCCCACGTAGTCGACCGCGGTTCGTGTCCTGGACCCGGTGGCTTAAAACTCACGCCGGGCGCGTGTGCGTGCATGCCCAAGATCCCGAGAGGAGAATGGAGGAGAAGGGATTGTGGCGTGACCATCCCTCCTGGGGGGTGATTTCTCGCTTTCTGTCTCTATGTCTCTCTCTGTCTGTCTGGCGAGCGCACGCACCCTACAGTGAAAATCTCTCCAAAAAAAAAAAAAAAAGTCTTGGGGTTGGTACTCAAACCACAGTTGGTCATGTGAGAATCCAGCAACATAACCATTACATCATCTAGCCCCTTGACCAAAACCTTTGAGTTGTGATATTTTTCTGTTTGCTTTTCTCTTTTCTGTTTTGTTTTTTTTTTAAGAGAGATTTTTGCTATAGGGCTTGTGCACTCGCCCGCAGAGACAGAGACAGAAAGCAAGAACTCACCCCTCAGGGGAGATGGGCACTCAGCAATCCCCTCTCCTCCATTTTCCTCTTGGAAGATTTTGGGCACACACTGGTATGTGAGTTTTAAGCTGCTGGGTCAAGACTTGAACTACAGTCGATTACGTGGGAGTCCAGTGACATAACCATTACACCATCTGCTGGTTCTGAGTTCTAAATTTTTTCACCCGGTGGTTTAAATTTTTTCCCCCAGTGGTTTAGAAAAAGAAAATCCATTTACTACATTGGAGATCAGGAAGAGAGAAATATATTTCCTCCATTTTTTGCCAAATTTCCTAAAAAGTTTAAGAACAAATAGCCCATTTTCTTCCCTCCCCCCCCCTTATCACTGAAGAAAAAACACAACAGCAAGTTCCGTGTTGGCTTCAGTAAGGCCAAATAGTTCATCTGCAACACAGCCACTGCACAAGCTGCCCGTTTTCAGAGAGCTTTCCTCGATCCTGCTATTCTAGTGTTTCCCCTTTTTAAATTTATGCACAGCATCTATTACCTTGCAGATTTGTTGCTACCTTCCTGACCTGAATACAAACTCCATGAAGTAGATTTTGCCTAGCAGATGAGGAGTGCGAAGGAAGATTGTTCTGAGAAAGGGAGGTCCCCTGAGGTTAGGACTTAACTGAGAGCTTTCCCGATCCACAGATATCCCCACCGAGGTCGCTCATAGTGAGCTTCTTAGACTTAGCTGGGCAATAATGGAGCTGGCACCCACCACAAAGGGACAATGAAATCAGCTGGGTCTGCGTTCCTGCCAGTTCTAAGCTTTCCAGGGACGCAGCGACCGCTCCATTCCCTTCTTCCACTCTCCCCTTTCGGCCCCTCTGAGCTCCAACCAGCTCCGAAATAGGCCTCTCGTTCGCACCCTCGTGCAAGAGAGCTGGTCCTTTTCTGCACCCTGCAAATCTCTCACCAAACTGTGCAAAGTTGTTTGGGATAAATCAGGATCTTCCTCAAGGAAGATTCACGTCTGAGATCCCGGGTCAACTAAGAGCTCCGTGGCAATACGTGACCGTCGGATAATCCAGGGACACCCGCCTCTCCCTGTCCCCTCCGGTCTAGGCCAGTGGAAAGCTAACGTGATACGGAGGAGAAGGGCAGAGTGTCCTTGCCTCGGGCATGGCGGTGACCTAAGCCCGGTGGGCCGTGGCATTGGTCTTGGCTGAGCAACTCTTCCACCGATTCACTCCAGAAAGATGGAGCGAGGGCTGAGGGCCGTGCCGCTCCCAGCCTGGGCTTCCGGGGAGGCAAGGGGGGTCCCCGGACTAGGGCAGAGAGGGTCTGTGTTGGCTGGCCCCGGAGGGCAGAGCCGGCGGTGCGGAGTCTCGCCACACCTGCGCTCTGGGGTGCAGAGGGCTCCGCTGCTGGCAGTGGGGTCAGCTCCGATGGGCACCACCGTCGCCCCGCTCGCCCGCAGGTCCATTGAGCTCGCGAGTTTACTGCTGTCGCGAGATTTTCAGAGAACGTGGAGCCTCTCACGAATTACCAAGGCAACTGGGCGGCGCCTGAGCAGGCGGGAAGGAGGCGTTTGCAGAGATTTTGCACGCTTGCCCTGGAGTCTCCAAGCTTCCAGCCTCAGAGACCACGGCCTCCGCTCTGGGCAGTGTCCCTGTCCCCCCAGGGCTATGGGCCGGGTCTCAGGGCTCGTGCCCTCTCGCTTCCTGACGCTCCTGGCGCATTTGGTGGTCGTCATCACCTTATTCTGGTCGCGGGTAAGACCCTCGGCGGCACCCCGGTCTCCGAATGGGCCTGGCCCAATCCCGCCCCTTCCTCACTTGGCGCCCGCATTCCCCGCCGCCCCCACGCCTGCCCATGTCCCGGCTGCCCTTTCACTTCCCTTTCCCTCTGCCCGGCTCACAAGGACCGCCACGACAAGGCCT